GGACAAAGGTCCACATGGGCAGTCCTGGCTGTGCTTTGTCTGGCACACTCAGCATTGTTTTAAATATTTAATCAGTTGCTAACATTTAAAAATGTGAAAGATTTCTTATAAAAAACTTGGCGACCTACTTCCCTTGGAAGGTGGAGGGACGTGGTGGCCCCCTGGCCGCAGCTGGTCAAGGCTGGCCCCGCGGATGAGACGAGCCCGCTTCTGTCTGCTCTGGCCCCACAGCTTCCACTCGGGTAGTCCAACCCCACTTTCCCCCCCCCCCCCATGTATGCGGCCTGCTTAGCTCCCATAGACGTTTCATTTGGGGCCCCTGGTAGAGGGGCTTGGGGTGAGGAGGGTCAAGCTGGACCCAGGCAGTCAAGGAAAGGAGAAAGAACATAGTCTGTGCAGGCATGTTCTCAGGGTCGATGCTTCCAGATTGCTTGGAATGTCTCCAGGGGCAACGACCTTTCTGAGGCTGGAAGCCAGTTCCTCCGGGTGGGGAGTGATTCGATGGAGTTTCCAGAAAGCCTGGGCCTCTGCTCTGGTCCCCAGCCGTGGAGATGACCAATGTGTGCCTCCCTTCCCAGGACCGGGTCTCCCCCGGGCTCCAGGTTTGGGGTTAGACTCCCTACCACGTGGAGACAGTGGCAGACGGTGGGAATTCCGGACCTTCCAAACACATTTAATGAGTTTTAATAATCATTAGGAATAATATTTATTCAGCCTGTCTCCAAGGGGACCACGGGCCCGTTTTTATTATTACCATATTGTGGAACTTATGGAAATTGTATGCATTGCTTTGCAATTATGTCAACGTTCTGCTCAAGTCCGTGTTCTGAAATTGGCAGGGCAGAGTTGGGAGCTGAGTTGGGAGCTGAGTTGGGAAAGGAGAAGGAAGCCTGTCCAGGCACCAGGTGCCTTGGGCCCCATCAGCTCAGCTTCCCGACCTGCGTGGGTGCTGGGCTCACTGGCTTTGAGGTCAAAAGGGGGTGAATTGGCCCCCTCTGACAGGTTGATAAGATTCAGGGTCTCCACCCAGACCTCATGGCCCATCTCAAAGAAGAGGCCAACCCCTCATCCCGGGGCTGTGTGTGGTGTGGGTGGGTCCAAGCCAGCAGGACTGGAGCAGGAGCGGCTTGGAGGGGTGGAGAGTCTGCCCCGGGGGCCTGTTGTGTATCTGAGCCTCAGACTTTGCCCCTGGGTTTGGTGATGTGGCTCAGCAAGCGCTGGCCTCCTGCCAGATCTCCTCCTTGAGCTGGTTCCTCTCTGTTCCTCAGGATCAGAGAAAGCACAGGAGTCCATCTGTTTAGTGCACAGACGCTTAGGGATCATTCAGACAGGGGCGGAGCCTGGAGGCTGTGCCCAGAGAGGGCCAAGACTTGCCGGAGGCCACACAGCACAGAGGAGGCGGAGCTGAAGTTGATGGTCCAGCTGCAGTAGCTGACCAGCACATTTCACCCTGCCCCCTGGAGTGTCCTGTCTGAGACTCTGTGACTCAGGACCAGGATGCTGGGGGCTTCAGAGATGTGTCAGCCCCGGCCCATTGACCTCAGAGGAAGAGAGCTCACAGCCAAAGAATCTTCTGTTCCAGTACCCATCCCGGCTAGGAGCCACTTACTTCTGGGGCCTCATGGAGCTCCTTCTAGGGCCTCATGGAGCTGTTTCGGGGAGCAGGATGTGTGCGCCAGCTCCTACTGTGCAGATGAGGGGATGCGGGTTGGAGGCACAGACGTCTCGGCCGAGAGCACTGAGCATGTCCTTGCAGGATCCACGGCTCTTTTGCTTCTCTTGGATGAGATGAGCACGTGCTTTGTCAATATTCTGGGTAGCCTCCTGCCCATGCTCCCTGCCCTGCACCCCATCTTGGAAACTAACCTCCTTCCAGTAACAACCAGGAAACCTTTAGAAGCTTTGCCCACTCAGCTGTGTGGTAGACAGCAAAGCAGTCATTTACATTTCACCAGCTATCGGCAATGATACAGTCTAGTGGCATCGTTGAGTGAGACTCTGGCTCCTTCTGTCCTCTCTTATGTGCCCTCAGGCCGCATATCTATTCAGGAGTTGAGCCCAGCAGGGCTGAAGTTGTGGGAAAGGGGGCGCAGGGCTTACCTGGTCCCTAGTCCTGGGTTCAAATCCTGCCGCCACCCCTGACCAGTTCTGTGACCCTGATTGTCCCTTCAGTTTCTGCAAAATGGAAGATAGCAATATCCACCTCTTTGGGTGATCCAGCACTTTGGGTGATCTCCAGGGCCACCTTTGAGATCTGGTTTGGCTGAGTGACTCTGGGGAGCTTCTCCTTGAGGCCACATCTCATTTGGAAGAGCTCCCTCCTTGGAAGTGACTGTGGGAACTTGCAGAGCCTGAGAGGGGTGCAGTGGCTGTGTGGGACCTGTTCTGCCAGGTCTCCAGGGGCATGAGGCAGACTGGCAGAGTGGATCCTGAGTTCTGGGCCCAGGCCTGCCCGGAGTTGCAGCCACATACAAGGGAGCTCTGTGGGGGCCCCCGGAGCGGGAGTGGGGAAGGAGCATGGAAAAGCTGAGTTTGGTCCTGAGTTGGGGCGGGGATCCTGTGGTTCACAGAGGCTGCACAGAAGCTGCTCGGAAGCCCCACACCCAGGAGGAGGCGAGTGAAGGCCTTATTTATTTAGTGTCAGGCCGCTGGCATTGGCACGTGCATGCACTTTTTGCAAGCGTCACCTCGGGGAAATCGGCCGAGGTCCTGGCCCGCAGCAGATGCTCCATGACTATCTAGGAAATGAATGAAGGAATTTGATCCTCACAAAAGGATGGTTGTCCTGACTCCCAGGCCAAGCTCCTTGAGGTTACACAGATCTCTGTGCTGATGGGGTCAGGAGGCCATTTGGAGTGTAAAAGCACGCGGATTGGATTTGAAATGACCTGGATTTGAACTCTTCCCTTCTCCAGCCATCCTTTCATTCTTTCAACAAATGTTAACTGTGTGCCTCTCTGGTGCCAGGCACTGTGTGACCTTTGGCCAGTCGCTTAGCCTCTCTGAGCCTCAGATTCTGCCTCTGCAAAATGGGAAGACGGTGCCACCTGCCTTTTTAGGTTTTTATGTGAGATGAGAAACAGCCATCATAGAACCTGGGTCGCAATAGATTGTTGTGACTGGTGGTTTACGGGGGTATTGTATTAAGAGAACCAGGAGGGTCTGGACACAGCCTGATATTTGCTTGACAAGCCTTGCTCGAAAGTAACTTGCCATTGGGAGGCAAGTGGATAGCCGTGGGTCTATCTAGCCCAGGACCTGAATGGAAAAGCGACTCCTGATTAGCGGAAGGAGGAGGGGCTTCGAGGCAGGACGGCCACTGTCCCTTAGCCCTCTGCACTTAGGCAGAAGGTGGGCAGTGAAGGCGGGATGTCTTGCTTTCCTTTAGCAAGTTGTGTGCCAGGGTCTGTGTGACAAACAGCTGTTTGCAGGCTGTCTCCAGCGGCTCCAGGCAGGAGCAGGCTAACTGAGGAGAGTGTACGGATGGGGCTATTTACAGAAGGCTGGGCAGCTTCCCAGATACCAGCAGAGGCTGGTAAGGCACACAGGGTCGACCCTTAGGGGAGGGAAATGTGCTGCCAGAACCTTAAGAGAATTCAGCAGTGAACAGGGTTTTCCCCAGCAATTGGGGCCAAACGACAACACAACAGAAGAAGCAGTTTAAGGAGCAACCACCTACTCCCTCCTTTTGCTCCGTAGTATCTTGTTAGAGCCTTCCCTCTGGCCACGCCCAGCCCTAAAAAGCAGAGGGCAAGTTGCCTGGGGGTAGCTCATAGAGGTCAGCTTCCCAGGGCCCCAAATGGGTCTGTGCACAGAAAATCAGCCATGCACACACATGTTCGCTGACAAGACGGGTTTTCCATGCCCGCTAAACAGCTAGATAAACTGAGGCCTGGAGGCACAAGACGTGCTCAAAACTTGTGAGTTCTGTCACAGAAGGTCCTTTGCTAGCACAGACACTGGGGACGGCCCAGCACCCTTTGGGCTGTTCTTGGAAATAATCATGAGCTCAATGTTTACAGGGTGGGCGGGCCTTTGAGGGCCCCTTCTGCCCCCCACCAGGCTGCAGGCACTGAGCAAAAGCCCAGACACTGAAAGGTCATTGCTCAGGTCCCGGGGCAGGACTGGACTCGGGTCTCCCAGGCCTGTGAAACCTTTCTGGCTGCTTTCGGGGGGCTATGCCAGCCGGGACTTACTTCTTTCCACCAGGCTTGGCAGGCAGGCCCTTGCAGCTGGACACAAGGGTGGACTTGTTCCGTGAATGGGGTTCCCCTAGGTCTGGCTGTCGGAGGCCAGGACCCTTGGGGAAAGCCCAGAGCGGGGGCTGCTTGGTTGTTACCATGGTTCCCTTTGCGTGAGTCGCAAGCCCAGGCCTCGCCCGCCTACCCCAGCCAGGCCTGCAGCCCCCACCTCTGCTCACGCCCCCCTCGGCTCTGGGTCCTCTCAGAGGCCCTGTTGTTTGCAGCGTGAAGTGGAAAATCCCACCCCAACCTTGTGAATCATCCAGAGTTGCCTTTTCAGGCTGCGGACCTTGGAAAGAAATGGCAGCATTTTTCCACTGCATGGAGAACAGGCAGGGTCTCGGCTCGGGGCAGAGGGGCCGGCGGTGCCTGCGAACAAAGTGAGCTCTGAGTAGGGGAGGGTCAGGGTTGTGGCTGCAGTGGGGCAATGGTGGCCCAGGCCAGGTCGGGAGAGCGGAGGGCTGGCGGCCGTGTCTGGAGTCGGGCTGGGCGCTGCCATCTCCAAGCTGGGCCGTGGGTCCCAGCTGGCATAGACTCTGCTCTGCAGATGTTGTGGATGAGGTCACACTGCAGCCTGGATGCCCCCATTTCTAGGGTAAAAGAAATACCAGGAGGGAGTGTCCAGTCTCCACAGCTGCAGCCTTGCCAGCATCCCTGAGGGAACTTCTCCCACAGATGATGCCCCTTCCTGGAGCCCTCAAAAGCCCTTTGCTTCTCTGGGTGTGGGCTCTCTTCTCTGTGGCATGCATGCTCTCACCTTTCCTGTCCCCCTGGATGACCTAGAGGAGGAAATGATCACCCCTTGGAAGACTTAACGAGGTCGTGCACCTAGTCAGAACTCACCTGCCCAAGGTGGTGGATGTGGGAGCTGCCCAGGCTAGGAAAAGAAGTCAAATCATCCTTGCATTAGTTCAGGCTCTGCCTGTTCACTGTGTGGCCTTGGGCAAATCACTTGACCTCTCTGGTTTCTCACCTGTTAAAAGAGCTTGGGAATGATAACGTTACCTGCTTAGCCTTAACCCCTTGAACCTCCCTTTATTTCTGGATCCCCTGAAAGAATCAGGTTAGGGAGAGCCTTCCAAGAAGACAAACTGCTTGCCGGCTGGGGAGAGTGGCTTAACATTTGAGTTGGGTAATTTCCGGTGGTTTACTTCACAGAAATAGCTACCTTTGGGGTATTAACTATGTGCTAATCTCCAGACTTAGCACGGTTTACCTGTCAGCTAGGAGCGTCACCCTCATTTCACAGTTAAACATGGTTTAAGCTTGGAGACTGGAAACAGGTTGCCCAAAGCCACACAGCTAGGAGTGGGCATGCGGGCCCCCAGTCTTACACCATCCTCCACCGCCCTCTGAATAGGAAGCTGTCCCCGCATCCGTGACCTGCTGCCTTCTCAGTGGGAGAGACTGCCTCCAATTTGGCCAGAGGTACCTGGAGGCCAGAGGCCAGACTCTCCTGCGGTCACGCGGCAGGCCTCTTCCGTCACGCCCCACTCATACTTTGCACTGACCTGGGACCTTGGTACCCATATCTGCCTGTCTGGATCTCTCCGCTGACTTTCATTCAGGGACCAGTGAGCACGTGGTGTTCGCAGGCCAGAACTATGCGCTCAGGCTGCCCAGTGTGAGATCTGGATTAATTACCAGCCAGGCCGTACTGGGTTTTCAACACTGATTTTAACTCTGGGCAGGAAACCTGGAATCTCGTTGATGGTTACTTGAAACAAATGAATTCCCCAGGCTTCACACATCCTCGAAAGCCTGGCTTCCTTCAAAGGCTCCGTGTTTAGTTCTTCCCATCAGGAGCGTAGTTCATCCTCCTTTCGTCCTTCGGAGTTGCCGGAATCCTTTTGTGGAGCGAGTGGTGGAGACTGAGGGGCTTGTACAAAGCCTCCCACTTATAGTAAGTGGCAAAACTCAGATGTGTGCAAAGGTCAGTGCAGGCTGTCTGGCTGCCTCCTCCTGCAAGATAGGTGAGGCCAGACAGGAGCCCCTGGAATGCCATCCTGCAGGGTTAGACCTTTCCCTTGTGGACCACAGGGAGCCAATGAACGTTGTTGAGTTCCCAGGAGAGGTAAATGCAGCTGTGGGGAGGAAGACTGAAGAGGGGAGAGCGGGGAGACAGACGAGGGAGGTATTATAGGTTGGGGGGAACTGTGATGAAGGCTGGACCAGACCACTGTAATACAAGGGACATTAGAGTCCTGACCATACTGGGTCCACAGCAGTGCAATAAAGTGAGTCCAGCCATAAAGTGAGGTCACCCAAGCCTTTTTGTTTCTAAGTACATGTAAAAGTTGAATGCACACTAGCATTATATCTAAAAAACAATTTACATACATTGGTTTAAAAAATACTTGATGGGGAGACCTTGATTCTTGCAACCCATCTTTATATGATCTGACCCAGCATTTGTTCTGTGAGTACAGCT